ATCCTCGTTATATCGGCGACGCGTGTCGCGCGAAATTTTCGCGCGTGGTGGTGTACTCGTCCGATGATGCGGCGCGCAAAAAAGGAAAAAAGAAAAGAACTAGAAGAAAAAAAAAAAAGAAAAAAAAAAGGAGAACAGGAAAGAAAAGAAAAAGAAATTCGAATGATCCCTCGTTTACAATATCACGCACGATTAATCTCTAACGACGAATTTAACGTCGATTAAAACGATCGACCCGACGACTTTTTCGTGATCGAGAGAGACAGAACGAAACACAATAAGAGGGAAGAACAAAAAAAAAAATACGACAAAGGTAAGAAAAAAAAAAAAAAAATAAACAAAAACACTTAAAAAGGAGAAGAAAAATTCAAGAGAATCCAGATATTAATTAATTCGACTTATTGTCATCATCACCACCACCACCACCACGTCGAAGATTCGCGCGAACGTATTCAATTAAATATCGTCGATATAAACGAAGAAACGGGTTACATTGTAAAAATGGCGGGAGGTAGAGAAAAAAAAAAAAAAAAAAAAAAAAGACAAGAAAAAGAAAATCAACGAAAAAAGAGAGAGACGATCAGTCAGTATCAATGATACATACCGTCCTCATGAGTTCTGACCGAGATAGGATAACTCGGGGGCCCATCACCTACGCTGGTCCCCGCCAATACCCAGATCCGATACTCGGTCCACTTTTTGAGCTCGTCCAAGACGAATCGCGTCTGATTCAGTTTGATAACCTTCGCCTCGGAATCGGAGCGTCCGCTCTCGACGACTTGTAGTCTGTAGTAAGATATCCTCCCGTTGGAGCGTTCGGCAGGTGGGGGTTCCCATGTTACCAATATGGAGGTCGGGCTGATCGCTTGGCCGGTTACATTGCGAGGCGGAGCCCCGGGTACTATATAAAACTCGATTATACGGATAGGAAAAAAAACTCAAAATTGGATTTGTTTTTTTCTTTTTTTCTTTTTTCTTTCAATTCTTTCTTTTTTTTTTTCCTTTTTTTTTTCCTTTTTCTTTTTTTTCTCGTCGACGATTACCGACCGATCGGCAAGTATCAAGAATTTCGAATTTTGGGAGAGGAGAAATTCACACGTCAAGGTCATCGATGGTGTGTCCTTTGCTTTTTTCCGACAAAAGAAGAAGAAGAAGAAGAAGAAAAAAAGGAAAAAGAAAAGAAAAAGAAATTGAAGAAAAAGAAAACAAGGAAGGGAAATGAAATAGAAATCGATAAAGATCAAGGCCTGGGGTGATAACGGGATGAGGTAGGTGGGGCCAGGGTGGGGAGGGAAAGACGATGTAGAAGTAAGTCGAGAGACCGATATCAACGATGATCTTGACGGGGATTCGACTCGAATAATTCGAAGGTCAGCATGCGTTCGATCGTAATCGTCGCTCGAAGGAATACCCGTAAAACGAAAAATGATGATGGTATCTCGAACGATCGGGCCTTGAAAGGGGTGGGAGGGGGTTAGGGGAGTACGAGATATTATTAAACGAAGAAAGTGGCTCGGAGAAGAACAAAAAAAAAACATATAAGAAGAAGAAGAAGAAGAAGAAGAAGAAGAAGAAGAAGAAGTAGTAGTAGTAGAATAAAGAAGAATAGAAAAAAAAAGGAAAAGGAAAAAAAAAAGAAAAAAAAAGAAAAGAAAAAGAAATGTCATTACAATCGATCCTTGAACAGTCGAAAAGATTACGTGATTAGATTGTGAAATCTTCTCCCTGAACGATTTCGCATTTCGACCAACGTCGTTAAATTCGAACGCCACAAAAAAAAAAAAGGAGAAAAAAGAAAATCATTTTCTTTTTTCTAAGGGGGGAAAAAAAAAGCAAAAGAAAAAAGGGGGACGCGTCGAATCAACGACGTACTTACTTATATACATATATATATATATATTATTGTTGTTATTATTATATACGATTATTAATATATATATATATATATATATATTAATTGATAATAAAATTTTACGTGGGAACGAAAGTACCAGGTAGAGAGAGAAAAAAAAAAAAATTAAAAAACGGACGTAAATTATATGTTATCGAGAATGAAAAAGAGGTGCCCAAAATGCACACATATATCGATGCAAAGTGCTTAGTGCAATTTATATGTATATGATATGTACGTATATATATATATAGATATATATAAAGTGGCATCCAAAAACGGCTTTCTTATTTGCAACGCATGCAGTCATTCTCACTCTCCCACGCTTCAAGTTTATTTTTATTTTTTTTTTTTTTTTTTTTTATTTTTTTTTTCCAAAACTTGCTTATCTCCCTCCTCCTTTATACGTATATGCAACATATAACTGTATTTTATTACATTCCCCGTTTTCATTTTATACTTTTCTCTATATAATATTTTCTCTATATAATATTTTCAATGTCAAACGAATCCTCCCCTTTCAACGAGGGGAACTCGACTCTATCTGTCTTTCTTTTCGTGTTCCTTGCACTTGCTTTTTTTTCGAAATTTTTTTTTCTTTTTAATTAT